GCGAAAGACGCCCTTTCAAACATTTTGACAGCGAACGATTCTACGCGTCCCACGGGACGCTTCACCGCCCGTTATACATATGTATGTACGCACGCACGTGAAACCTCGCGCGCGCGCGCGCATACATACATACACGGCACGGAATCGTGCGAAATAGCCCCGTTACGCGATTCACGGTCGAGATCGCGTCATTGACATTTCTCGCGCGTTCGCTCGACGTTAATTTGGTTTACGCGTAAAAACGGTACACCGAGAGAGTGGCCGGAGAGTAGCCGCGAGCAAGAGAAAGAGAGAGAGAATGGACGAAGATGGAAGCGAGATGTAAAGACGAGGGCAGGTTGGTGAAAGGGGGAAGAAGGAGCACGGGGAAGGATTAGTTCGAAAGACGAAACTGGTTCAACAGTTTCGGTCAACGGTAGCCCCGAGTATATATAAATCAAGCTGCCGCGCGAGTTCTGGCTGCGAAAAAATTCGCGTTCCCGGATCGATCGAGCGTCGCGCAGAAAAACGCTCGGAGAGCAACTCTGATACTCTGCCGTTCGTGGGAAGAACGTGCAAACTTTCGGAGAAACGTTCGGGGAACGACTTTTGATCGTGCGTGGGACGGGGTCGAGACGCGCAGCCGCGCTTGGTTATTTTTTTTCCCCGCGGTTGAGAATGGAGAGCGCGTTTCGCGCCGTGCACTCGCGTCCATTCGAAAAATAGCTCTCGTACCCGCTGGGATCGGATCTCTCGTCGCCGCGCGCAGTAAACAGCTAATCACCGTCTACGAATCTCCGTCGACGAGTCCGTTGTCAACGACATTTGTTTGCTTGACGCCTAGCAGAGACCGGGCAGCCACGCGCGACGCCACCGCCGCGAAAACCCTGGTGGCTGCAGCCAGAGATCCCTCGTTGACACTCTCGCGTCCCAGTGTAAATAAACGAGATCACGATGCAACGTGCTCGTAAAAGCAACGAGAGCACCGCGGAACACCCTGGAACAGGCCGCTCTGGTGGCGGTCACTCGACGCGATTCGACTCGATTTTTCCCCTCTTTCTTTTTCTCTTCTTCGATCTTGCGGTGGAGATTCGAGCCGAAATCTCGGTAGAATCTTCGTCGCGAAATGCGCGCTCGTGATAATTATTCCGAGAGGTCTGGAGAAGATACCGAGCGCGTGGTGTCATCGCCTCTCCCCTCCCTCCGTTCGCGTCCTTTTTCATCCCGGTTTTCTTCGTGATTTCCTACTTTCGTCGATGCGCGAAATTCTTGCGGCGCGCAAGAATCCGCTGGCCACGAATCGAGCGCTCACTCGCTCGCTCGCAACGTTTATACGATGCGTTCGATAAGCGATGTCCATAAATAAGCCCGCACTCCGGACCGGTTAGGATATATCTATTGCTTGTAATTTACGTCGGGCAGAAAGCTCAGGGGCGACTCTGGACGATCCTGTCCCGGTTCCTGCCGCCCCTCCCCCCCTCTCACTCTCTCTCTTTCCCCTCGCCTTTCCCCGTCTAGCTTGTCCACGTGTTTTCTGCCGGCGGACACGCCGCAACCAACGATGAAAATAATTTATCGACCAGCCGAAGACTAATAACGATCCGGTGCCACGCGCTCCCAGTGACAAAAGGCTATATTAAATTCGCGCGATTATCGCTGAGTTATTCTCTCTGCTCCCTCCTCCCTCTTCCTCACCGGTCCACGAGAATTCTCGGATCGGCAGTCTCGCTCATTCCTCTGTCGCAATGAGAATCAAGATACGATACGCGCGCGTTGTGACTCGACGATCGAGTGATCGAGTTAGGCAATTCTCAATCGCGATTGCGCGTCTGGAACAATGCCGCGAACCAGATTGAGACGTCGCTCGATACCGATTTGAAAGCTTCGTCTCACGACTACCAAGTCGCTGCCGCGAATCGACGTTGTCGATTTTTCGCACGATAACGCTAGACCGCTCGCGTTCGCGATCGATAGCAAACCCGAGGACCACCCAGAATCGACTGTCGCGCGTTTCGCTCTGGCGGGATCGCGCGCTAACGCGATAAGTAATCCCCTGTTACCAGCGAATATATTATCGATCCGCCGGCGATATCTATCGAAACGAACGAGACTCGCCGACGTAAATCCAATCCGAAAAGTCAATCCGCCTTTCGCCGGCACGTTTCCGACGATAAATTACAGGCTGACTGCGAAAATCGAGGGCCGGCGTGTCGTACGCGTCCACGCGAATTCACCGTCGGCATTAGATTAATTAATTCGTAGGTAATAATTACCGGCGCGTCGCGGCGGACGTGCACGGCGGTTGCGTTAAATCAACGCGGCTGGAAAAGCAATCGGGACTCGGCTGATTTATCGCCGACACTTTATCGTTACGCGGATACTTCCGCGGCTATCTCTTTCGGTCTTGAGTCGAGCAACCGGGCACGCACGTACGCTTGCTCACTCGCTCGCTCGATCGTGCACCGCCGACATTATTTATTACCTGGCTAATGAAGTTAGCCATTATCTAATATCCATCCAGCGTTTTCTTGTTCCCCGGCGACGTGCACACGCTTGAACCTATGAGAAATTATTGGCGGATTGAAACGAACGAGCCGAGGCTTATGATTAATGAATTAATAAGAAGGCGCGCGAGTGTCGCTGCCACCGGTTGCCTCGATGGAAGACGCGAGACAGGTGTTCTGAACGCGGCTCTCCTACCGGTAATTAACTTCCCGAAAAGTAATTACGCGCCAACGCCAACGCGCGTGAAAATCTTCAGGTTCTTCCTTTCCTCGCAACGATCGAGATGTATACATATACACAAGCGATCAAGATCGATCCGTCGTCGCGTTGATTTTGTCACGCTGTCTCTTTACTTACCACCACATCGATCCTCTGCCGCGGTTCTTGTTCCTGGTGATCTCGGCGATGGACGCGTTGATCGCCACCGCCAGGGCGCCAATGACCACCCAGAGTCTCATCTTCCGTTGACGATCGGATGACAACAGCGGCGCGGACCTGCTTCTCGCGATTCTGCTTCGTCGAGCCCTTCGTCCAGCGGCAAAACACGCACCAACGCTCACTCACCGGATTAGAAACATCACACGATACTCGTCGGGAACGGTGTCGCGCACATAGTACAAACGTCGAAAGGTTCGTCGTGGACACACTGCCGAGATCGAGAGACGTACGTCAATTGAATAATTGTTTCAATCGACGAATGTCTAAATCATCGTCGGAGGTGATCGCTGGAGGAATCCCGCGGATTCGTGTTCGGAAAAGAAGAGAACGCTCAGAGTGACCCGGTGTCTCGATAGTGGGATGCACGGAGCTGGATACGTAGGACGTAGGGCCAGCTGTCAAAAAGCAGCTCGATCGTAAGAACCGTAACGCCGTTCGTTGAGCGACTGTAGTTGGTAGAGCGGACTGGGTGACGTCGACTGCCGGAAACTCACCCCCCGAAGGGCTTTTTTCGAGGGGTGGGTGTGTCACCCTTGCCGAGTTCTCACCGAATCAGAGGTGGTGGGAGAAGCACGCTGAAGCCGAAGGATACCTGGCAACCTTCCTCCGACGTTTCCCGTCGGGATCTTCTATCGGGATCGGCTAATAATGGAGTTGTCGAAAGCAGACTGACAGCCTCCGAAATCGTTCGTCCTCGTCGTTGTCGTCGTTCTCGTCGTCGTCGCGTATATCCGATCGTTCCTCTTTCGTTTTCTCTCGCCGCCGTTCCCTTTTGTTCCGTCTCGTCCCGTTTCGTTCGATCTCGCGTCGGCTAGCGAGACGCAGCAGCAACAGCAGCAGCAGACGTCCTCCTCCTCCTTCGGTGTTATCGCTTATCGAGAGGGCGAGCTGAGAGTGCGTGACGAGTGCGCGCGCGCAATCGATCGATCGACCGATCGGCCGATCGAGCCAACGAATCGACGAACCGGCCAAGGGACCAACGAACGAACGCGTTACGTGCAAGCGAGCAGCGAGCAGCGAGCGAACGAGCGTCGACCCGCGAGAGAACGTGCCAAGGGGAGACTCGTCGTTTCCTTCTCTTTCGCTCGGTCTCGGGGGGTACGGTACCGACTTGGAGAACCAATACCCTTCGACGGACAAGTATAGGCCTCGGTTAGCGACTGCACGCGCTCCTCCGCGGAAGAGCCGATCTCTCTTCAGAGAGAGAACGGAACCGTTTCTCCCCTCTCCACCCCAAGGCTCCTCTACGCGTTCCGTTTCTTCTCCCCTCTAGCAGGCTCCTGCCTTCTCTCTCTCTCCGCGCGTCGCGCTTCCTCCTCTTCCTCCTTCCTTTCTTCTCCTCGCTTCGCTACTCTTCTCTTCGTTTCGCTTCGCTTCTCTTCGCCGTTCTTCTCCGCTCTTCTCCGTTCCCTCTTCTCTTCCGTTTTCCTCTCTCCTCCGTCGTTCGACGCGACGCCAACGGCAGCGGCGCCCGCTTCCCCTCGACCGCTCGCGATCGCCGGATCCCCCAACGCCGATCCAATCTCGCCCCGCCTCTCTTCGTTCGATCCCTGCCCTTCTTCTTCTTCGTCTTCTTCTTCTTCCGATCCTTCGATCCTCTTTTCCTCGATTTTCCCCAGTCTCCCTCTTTTCCCTTCCTCGAACTTTACGTTTCGTTCTTTTTTTTCTTTTTTTTTTTCCTCCCGCCGTACGTCGGAGTCACCTTCGAATCACCCTTGAACGAACTGTCCGTCTTTTCTCGAAGATCGTCTCCTCTCGCTTCCTAGGCATCGATCGACTCATCAAGAGATAAAACGCGAATGACAGAACGAGGAAGGACTCGGAGCCAAAGGTTGGCAGCATGAGCGTTGGTCATAAAGCGCAAGGATTAGCGAACGTTTTTCCACGAGGGTTGCTGGACCGCGAGTGAAACCCGCAGGTTCTCTCTGGCAGAACGTCTCTCTCTCTCTCTCTCTCTCTCTC